TTTGCTTACTTCTGGGCCCCTATTGTGCCATTTCGACCTGGAGGCACTCACGGAACTGCATACAGATGCTAATGGTATCGGTGTTGGTGCCGTGCTAGTTCAGTATCACGACAGCCGCCAGCACATCGTGGCGTATGCAAGTCGTACTTTGACTAAGGCGGAGAGGAATTATACGGTCACCGAGCTGGAATGTCTTGCAGTTGTTTTCGCCGTCCAAAAGTTCAGACCTTATTTGTATGGCCGGCAGTTCAAGATTGTCACAGATCATCATTCGCTTTGTTGGCTTGTCGAACTACGTGACCCAGCTGGTCGGTTGGCTCAATGGGCCTTATGGCTTCAAGAATATAATTATTCTGTGACCTACAAGAGCGGTCAATGTCACGCAGAGGCCGACTGCTTATCTCGTCTTCCATCTCCGACTGTGGATGTGCTGATGATGATGATTTCGACTACTACCTGGCTGCAATCTCATCCTACTTTCCAAATTTAGACGTCTTCCGTCACGAGCAACAGCGTGACCTTTCGCTGAAACCAATGATTGATGTGGCTCGTAGCTCTAAACGCGCCACGTCATTCGTGATTCATGACGCCCTACTATATCGCAAGAATTACACCAGCCATGGTTCCACACTACTCCTCGTCGTGCCAGAATGCCTGCGTCTTGCGCTATTCCAAGCCATGCACGATGACATCACGTCTGGGCACCTTGGATTTGCCCGAACGCTTCACCGTATCCGACGTTTATACTGGCCTCGACTCTGAAAGACCACCAAGCACTACGTCGCAAGTTGTGATGTCTGCCAACGCCACAAACAACCTACCACACCATAAGCCGGCCCACTGCAGCCGGTTAAGCCACCGACATCACCATTCGAAAAAGTCGGCATAGATTTACTTGGCCCTTTCCCCAAGTCTAGCACCGGCCGCTGCTAGATTATTGTGTGCGTAGATTACCTGATACGGTATACTGAAACGATGGCAGTTGCTTCAGCCACATCATCTGATGTGTCATGGTTTCTTCTGCACTCGATCATACTCCGTCACGGGGCCCCTCGTGTGGTGATAAGTGATTGCGGCCGGCAGTTTACCGCTGACGTTGTCGAAGAGTTGCTACGGCTTTGTGGGTGTCAGTATCGCCATTCCACGCCATACCACTCTCAGACCAACGGCTTCACTGAGCGCACCAATCGTACCATCATCAACATGCTTTCAATATACGTCGCAGCGGATCACAAGAACTGGGATGCCGTATTACCTTTTGTTACATACGCCTTTAATACCGCCAAACACGAAGTCACAGGTTATACGCCTTTCTTTCTTCTCTATGCTCGTTATCCCCAAAGTTCCCTTGACACCATACTTCCTTTTTCGACGAACGAAAACGCCAGTGTCGCGCCGAAGAAGCTCGTCGACTTGCTCGGCTCTGAACTCTTTCCGCCCACGCGTGCGCGAAAGTGACACAAAACACCTGCACGTGACTTTCACTACAGATGATTTGGTCTGGCTGTAGACGCCTGTTCGAAAGAAGGGACTTTGCCAGAAGTTTATTTCTAAATACTCAGGACCATTCGTCATTGCTCAGTGCCTAAGTGACATTACTTACGCTGTTGCGAAAGTGACAGCTTAAAACCGGCGTTCGCGCAAGACGCAAATTGTTCACATTGCCCGATTAAAGCACTACAACAACCGATCGCTTCTACTCGCTCGGTGAGCTTCGTCTGGCCTGGAGGAAAATGTAACGTGGACTGAAAGAGCAAGGAAGAAGAAGAGATCGGACGCTCTCGAGCGATGGTGATTCGGCAGTGACGGTAGATCGCTAACATTTTGCAGTGTAAATAAACCCATCACATCCGTAACAATATGTTATAGATGAAAGCAAATATGCAGACATGAGAGATAGTATAAAGAAAGCTGGCTTCTTTTTTTGTTCATTGTTGCTTTATTTGCTATCTTACACATTGCACGAAAGAATGAATATCAACAGCATGAAATTCTTTTTTCAGATATTCCACGGTATCTACAAAACAAAGATAACAAAAATTTTCATTCTAGACACGTCGCATTCGCGGACAAAGCACACCAAACACATTAAGCCTCTGAAGCATAACACAAAATCGTTCAAGAATTCTTTTATTGTATCCGCTATTGACACATGGAATAAGTTACGGAATGACGTTGTACTGTGTAACAATGTTAAAGATTTCGAATGCGCGTTTGAAATGTTGAACTGAGCTGTGATAAGGCACTCACTTGCTCACCTGTGTTCTGCCGAGTTATGCTGCAGTGTGCGCATTGAATGTTGGATTTTTTATTTATTTTTTTTGCATTGCTTTTGCTTTCTTTGTGTCAAATTTTGAGATGTTCTATTTTTGCATTGACTTTTGAAATTTGTGTGCCCAGATGAGCGACTCCTGTTTTGGCATGTATGCTAACAGTATGAATAAATAAATAAAATATGCACAGTGCTTTCCATGAAAGCAAATCATGCGACACTTTGTCAGCAAAGCTGGTATATTCACTCTTTCTAATGCTGAAGAATTGCAAAAAACTGTGATTAATGTAGCTTCATCAGACATTGGATTCCCGGCAAGAGATGAGCCCTGCAAGAACAAGAATTTGTCACAGCTTGCAATTTCAAATTTCAACATGGGCAACACGTTTTTTCTTAACGCTTGTGTGCAGAAAGTCGTGCAGAGAATGCCATTTAATGACACATTGATTTTGGGTGCGAGCTGTTTAAACCCTCTATGTGCACTGTCATTGGTGGCAAGTCCCAGGCGATTCCCTCTGGCGCTCGGAGTTCTTACTGACTTTCAGTGAATGACTGGCTTGCAAGCTCAGTTACTCCATCATTATTACATGAAGCTGTGCTCAGAATGCACTGCAGCAACACAATTTGCTCATTTTGACGCTAAGCAACAGAGGTTTCATTCTCAGTGCACAGAGCTAAATGTGCTTTCAACATCACAAGAAGGTGCATCAACCCGTAACATTGCTTCATGCGGTGACACAGGCAAGCATTCTCGGTTTTTTTTTTTCCCTTTTGATTGTTCTTTAATTTATTTGCCCTCCAGTAGGTGGTGCCACCTTCTAACCTGGGGCACGTGAATCACGTAAGCGCTATCCCGCTAAACTATAAGACGCTGTCCACAATGACCGTTTTGCTGTACGGTAACACTATTCCCATAATTGTGGGGGTTACAGCTAGACTGTTGCGTCTAAAACGACTCCCAATTTACAGCAACGGGCCCCCTCATTTTTACCGATACACTACAGTGACGGGCCCTCTCACCGTAGTCATTGCTTTAAGGTTGCGAGGCCCGTCGCTATAGCTACACCGCGATTATGATGGGCCCCCTCACTGTTAAGATTACACTATGCTGATAGGAACTGGCACCATAATCACGATTATATAATGCTGGTGGGCCTCCTTACTTTAACGATAGTACTGTGCTGATAGGCCCCCTCAATCTAACAATAGTACTGCGTTGATGGACCCAGTTACCATAATCACTGCCTTGTACAAAATGGTTTCCATTGCATTGGTCAGGGAATTTGATTTCTTCTATGTGCTATGACCCAAATGTGAAGAGAAGAACAGCCTGAATGTGGCTACTAGAGAATACCATCAGAGTGGGAGACATCAAATTTCATGTTTGCACCTTGTTTTTGAACAGTGAGTGTTTGAAAAGTGAGTGATGCAATTAGCGAAAGTGCTTCATCTTCCTTTGCTGCTAAACAAACTGCCCAGACAGAGGCTCACCTTCGTTGATACAGGAATCCTGATGCCCTCAAATTTTTTTCTAGAAAACATCGTAATCATTTGTTTTGTTTTGTTTTCATGTCAATTTCAGCATTTTAGATGTTTTTTTGCATGCAGACATCTAGGAGTCAGGTTTAATTGTCGTAACCTGGAATGTAAACATTGTAGTAGGCGTATATTTTATAATTGAAAACATAAAAGTTCACAGTGCATTGGATACTCATTTTATCTAGTCTGTTCTTAAAAAATTGGCATTTTGATAAGTTTGTTTGACTGAAAGTTTTGATTCACTAGTTTTTCAGTTCTATGTGCAGCTGAGGGCTCGAAGTTGTGGCACTAAAAGGGACTCTAAAGAGCAAATCGTTTTTCTCGTATTAGTAAACTACTCTTTCACAATACCGAAGACTCCACTCTTGCTGCAAGAAGAAGCTGATTAAGCAAAAAAATGTGCAAAAAATGAAATGTGGTTGGCTACGTCACCTTGAAATTTCTGCGCCATCCGCCGTGATAGTGCCTACTAGGGCTTACGCGGTTCTTAATTGGTAAGAATGAATTGCATTGTTCTCTGAGGTGGCCAGAGATTTGGCACACCAAGTCTGAAGAAGTTTTGTCATGCCAATGGTGCCATAATATGATAAATACTCTTTGAAATCCGTGCGAGATTTCGGTTCGAAATATAAAATAACACTTTGAACTTGATTTTCTCCTTTGATTTGAAACCTATGATGGTGATATTGATGGCATTATGGTTCTCACAGAACAGTTTGTCAGTCTAAAACTGATTCATTATTTCTCTTTGGTGCCCTTTTAATTTCAACACCTATTGTACACATTGGAAGGAGCAACAGGCAATCAACTCAGCAGTTTATGTCACTGAATACTTTTGTAGGAGAGAGGTGATCAGAGAAAAATTTGACTTCACAGCCAAGTCATTAAAACTGGACTGATCCAGAAGGCCCATAATTAAAAGCATTATTATTTTTTAAACTTGTAGTACCAATCTATATTTTCAATATGCCACATAATCTTATCGTAGTTTTGGGAGATAAAGCCCCAGATATTATTATTATTATTATTATTATTATTATTATTATTATTATTATTATTATTATTATTATTATTATTATTATTATTATTATTATACAAATGTGCATGTAATATTTAGAACACTTTTATTTTTCGTTGTCTAGAAAAAATTGATTACTATGGCTTATCTTTTGTCTTTTTTTCAATGCAGGTAATGAGTTAGTGAAGTATACACCAAGCGTCCTCGACCTGGGCATTGAAGAATGCTCTTCATTCCAGCCTGAAAATGAAATACTGCTGTCTGATGACGAACTTCCAATAAGTTCAGCTGCATTCAATGCTGCTAATAGCAAATCCTCAGCCCCCAGGTCCAGCCCACTAGGTACATGTGAGCAAAGTGATAGCTCGCAGTCAGCATCTCCCTCCTCTCTGTTCCAACAAAACTTCAAATCAGTTTTGCCAACTAAATCTCGCCCAGCTGGAAAGAGGGGCACATCATCAGGCAGAAAACGGCGTGGTGGTAGCAAGAAGTGAAGTGGACTGTAGTTTCCACAAGATATAATGTGTACCATGCTAGCCCTGAGGTTAGTATCCAACACGCTGGAATGTTGAGTCAGGCTCGTGTGGTTGTGCATTTGCACCTAATTGCTAAATTCTATCTAGAGCAGAATTCTAAAATGCTCCGCTGTTAACTATACATTCAATAGCAGTGGAAACATCACATACAGTGATGCCGTCAAAAAACAACACTAGTTCTAGACTGCACCAAATGCACGGCACATTATATGCACAATTGAAATTTGGAGCTGGCCCCCCTTTATTGTAGCCGTTGTTGTAGGCCAAGCTCTGGTTGATCAAGAATGGAGAGGACACTTGTCAAACTGTACACCACAGTCAAGAAAGATTAACTGACAAGATTGACGACCACTGACGTGCACCTCTATTGTTGTTCAGGACTGGAAGCTTGGACAAAATAATAAAGGCAATTTGAATACTACTGGAGGATCTCTTCATTTAGTTTAATCCAAAAAAGCAAGGTCAGATACACTCTCTCTATTAAGTAAGTTGTACGTCTACAGAACAAAGAAATAAATTCATGCTTTCACCCACGTATGATTGGGAAAATGTCTCCAGAATTAGAAGAATTATCTGAGGGACTCGTTTTCTGTATTATAAGCTAATGACACCGACCAACAATTTATCCAATGAAAGCACAGGGGACATTATTTGTAGTTTCTCGACTGTATTGTAATGATTATCACTTGTATTGAAAATGAGTGCATGAAGAATCTTTGGACTAATTGTCTGTTGATTTCATTAGTTTAAAATACAGAAAACAAGCCTCTCGGACAATCTCCTGCTTTCGCATTTTCATAGTGAGGGCTTCATCCCAGAAGACTTGATGCTTTAGGTAGCATGCAATGTTTTGTTGGTCAGCCTTTATGGAAATATCACAGGCCTCTTGCTGCAAAAAGAAGTGTTCCACACTCGCCACCTGGGCTAGGAGCGGTGCTAGCTAACTCTCCCAAGTAGTAAGCACACATGAATACCCTACAAAAAAAGTGGACGGAGGAGCACCCTCCATTATAGAGCATTGGACTTGTGTGTTCAAATCCCACTGAGAGAAAAGGTGATTTTTCCTCCACTACTTTCTTTCAATTTAAGTTAGAATTGTTACAACCGAGTTAAGAAATCACAAATCTGTGCTTTCTTAGGATGTGTAGTCAACCTTTCAACAAGTAGACCTGCATTTGTCAAGGCAGTAACCGCTCTCCTTAGTACTGTGCATGTGTACATCATGCCTGAGGGAGTAGAGAAAATAGAGATGGTGGAGAGAAGCTAAGTAGGGTACCATTCGTAAACATGGTTTCAATTTCACTTTTCTATTTGAGGTCATTACTGTCAGAAATGACCGTAGGTTTTGGCATTGCTGCACATGAAATGAATGTTACATGGCAAATCTGCACTCCTCTTTATTGTCGCGTGCCTCTTGCTCTTTGCAGCATCTTGAAACCAGGTCAGTATTTTCAGTAAAATCCATCAATTGACAAGACCAAGATTTCGTGTCAAATGAGGCAGTAAGCAGGAAAAAGTTCAATTTTTAATTTTTTCTCATTTAGTTTTGTGTTTTCATGCTAACGTAATTTTCTCATGGCTGTAATAACCCCTGTGTGACAGTAACGAAAAATTGAGTATGAGACACCTACAAAACCTCTGTTAAATGAGTGATAAATCAAGCTTGTTCATATTGACTACTTGTGGAATAAGTGGCCGAAGTTCACAAAATGCAGAGGTATAATTTTTTCTTTTGAAGTAAGTGTTCACATTGTCTGTTTGCCAACTTCCTTTTTGGGACTATGCATGAAAGGTTGGCAACATTAAAATGGTGCTGTCGATGGAAGTGCGTCACGCTGTCGGTAAGTATGCATATTGGATGATAGTTTTCAAGTGTCTGGTGTGCATAGAAAGACAGCACAAAATGTGGTGTGTGACCTCATGGCAGAATCGTGTTTGAGTGACCTGCGTTATGGCCTTGGCGGACTAGTTGGATGAGGAGGTTGTCGTGTGGGGTTGAAGTTCAATAAAATAGTCTGTGGAAAATACCAGAGATGGGCAATGTGACCATGAAGATTGAGGGTAGGAAGTCTTAGTTGAGTTTTTATGGTGGAGAGATGCTGCAGTAGTCTGAATGATCTGAAACTATGACCTGTAGTTGTACGGTTCTGTGCCGACTCCAGAACTCAAACGGGGCCCTGCAACACTTTTTCAGCATGTTCATAAAACCCTACTGATCAGTACTTGAAGTTCCTGAAAACATGTGAGCCAAACATTTTAGTGCGGCTTCGAATTAAGAATTCTCAGTCTTCTAGAAATCACTCATTCTTCTCTCAACAAATGATTCCATAACCCAAATGACCGTATAACCTTTGGGTCATTCAGACATCGTGAGCTGCACACCTAGTTACCGTGGTTGCCGCGAATTGCCCGCATGCTTGCTTGTGATTACACACTGGAAATAAGCAGTGCGTTTTAAAAGAAAAAAAAGACAGAAAGAGGTCAATGTCGTGACATGCACTGACGAACGGATGTAGCTTCTTGTCTCCTTATTATTCCCCCCCCCCCCCCCCCCCTGCATAGGTTTCAGTGCACTTGTCAGTACGCAAAAGGGGAGGAAGTGCTTAAGGCGTGCTACAAATCCCGATGCTCTGCTCAAACTAGGCAGATTCTATAAAAATTTTTGCAGTAGTCAATTTGCAAAGCAATAAAAACTTTAGTGAAACCATTTGAATATTACTTATAAAAGTATTGCAGGGCCCCTTTAATGAGGTTAGTTTGGTGGTAATCAGATACTAAAGTTTAGATTTGATGACAGTATAATGTAGTTATAGGCACGTCTATGAACTCCTCTGACTACACCTATGCTAGCATGAAAAACATTGATGGATATAGTTGTGCCCCAAATGTGGCCATGACTTATATTCTTTAGGTCACATGCTCTAGCTGTGCCGAGCCCTTACTCCGCCCAACACGAAGGAGCAATGGCATGCATCTCTGAAGAGCAGCAGTCTTCAAAATCAACTCCAGTCCACCCAGAGGGCCCACAACATAGAGACAGACGACTTCCGGTCCCATCTTCGGCGTAGCCACCGACAGGATGGGGGGGGAGGGGGGGGGAGCTCTGGCTTTCTTAAATATTAGTTTTTCAGGACTCCAATAAAGTTCTTAACATGTCATGAGAATTTTATGGCGTGAAAAAAGGGCAGTTTCAATTTTTAACACGAGTTGCCACCTCCTCAGCCATTTTTTCAAGTTTAGCACGAGTTTCATGTGAATCAGAGAAAAGAATCTTTTGAGAAGAATACTGGTGAGCACTGATAACATGCTGTGGGGAGTTAATGACAGGGAGACTTAATGAACCTGCAGTCAGTTATATTTCATAATGACTGGTCAGCATTAAAGTAGCATGTGACTAAGGAAAATAACAATGTTCACCAAGTCTCTCTTACTCTGTGAAGAATTGACATATCTATAATCAAAGCTGTGAATGCAAACCTGCACTAAAATAAGCTAAGGACTTGTTTTTCAATCAGACTCTGCTTTGTATATGAATAATTGTTAGCAGTTCAGGAACACTATTATAACAAAACAAAAAAATGCCAGGCCTGCGCGGGAGGTGCTGCACAGTCGCAGCGATACCGAGAAGAGCGGCTTTTCAGAGCCTTTTCTAAACACTCATTGGGTAACTGCTGCAAGCACACTTGCCGGGTACCCACTATGGCATTAATGATCATAATTTTTGGGTAGTAGGCCGGCATTTGCTATGCTATCCTTCGTCATTCTTCTCAGAAGTGTGGTATCCATTAAACTCTTCCAAGGGATTTTGTGCCAATTGTTCATGCAGTGGCTGATGATGAGGAGTTATGCCTGAAGTGTGCATGTGCTACAGTTAATAGGTGATCTAGAACAAGCATTACTAATGGGCTGGAGCATTGGATGACCCACTCTTTAGGCTATTTGCATTATGCGACACCTGGTTGTATTTTACTGTTATTCTTTTCCCGACATCAAGCTTACCTAAGGCAAGTTTGCAAACAAGTCCCAGGCACTAGCGTGGCTACGTGGTAGAATACCGAGTTGGCATGCAGCGTTCGAGAGCCATCGTGTCCTTGGTACAAGGTTTCTTTTTTTATTTTGCATGAAGTGGTTACGGACACTGGCGACGGCGTGACCCGAGTTATGATCTCATAACAGCCTTTGCTATAAAACTGCTAGCAGAAATGTCGGAGAATGTGCCTATATTATTGCATTTAATGATAATTTACAATTACTGTAAGTTAAGGTGTGCACTAATGGGTATGAATATAAACTTGGGTAAGTACAAAACTGTGTAGCGCCATCATTACATCGTAACTGTTCGATAAATCTGCCAAGTTTAGTTTGTACTCTTTATAATGATAAAGGGGAATGTTCACCTTACAATTAATACAACATTATTAGCATCGTGTGCTAGATCATGGAACATGTCATCTGTGCACACCTTGCAAGCTTCCTTGAGGCTAATTCATTTTTCGCTCATTGCCAGCATGGGATTCATTCTTGATTAGGGTTTCATCACAGACCGCATAATCCTCCATTTATCAGCGAAGCTGCTCTCCTCCTTGTTGATCAAGATTCTTCATTGCATCCACCTTGCATGGTGTAGGCCCACGTTAACCCATGGTAAATCAGAAGCAGGCTTCAAGCGCTCCACACCTAAGCATATATGATAATGTAATAAATAACTAATATGCTTTAATTAATGAAGAGAATGGACATTAGGAACTTCACATGAAAGCGCTTTGCGTGGGTGAGACAAGAACGAGAGTTGTTATTGTACAACTTTAATGTCGATCTTGTGAAATCCCAGATGAACCGATTCTTGTAATTTGTCAGGGAAAAAATTTTTATTTGAATGTTGCACGGACGTGAATCAACCAACCATGAGGTAAAGATTGCGTTTAGATTTGATCTTGGCTGTAAAAGTAGTGAAAGTGATGGCAGAACCCATGACTGCGTACCACACCAATTATGAAACCTGTCACTGTCATTACTTAAAAGCAATAAACTATTCCATACCCCCAATCCTGGTGCCCGCAGGTCGTGGGATCGAATCCCAGCTGCGGCGGCTGCATTTTTGTTGGTGTTGAAAATGCTGTAGGCTCGTGTGCTCCGATTTGGGGGCAGGTTGATAAACCCCGGGTGGTCGAAATTTCCGGAGAACTCCACATCGGCATCTTTTATAATGGTATGATGGTTTTGGGATGTTAAACCCTACATATCAAGAAAATCGTCAATCAACTCCCAATCCTGGTAGTTGTAGTGGAAGTTTTCAGTGGCTTTGCTGAGCATTCACTTTTGCTGGGCTCAAGTGGAAAGCAAAGTTTTTCAAAAGCATTTGTTGAAATTTTCACACCAGTTGATCCTTTTCAAAGAAATCTTGATCGATATTTGGGCATGT